AATGCAGCATCCCATAATCCCCTTCTGGTTTTAAGCCCGTTTCAAAAGTGCTGGATTCTGTGTCTGTTACTTTAAATGTAAATGAAACTGCTGGCTCCCTCGCCTCTGAGAGATATTTGGTTACAAAGAACACAATGGTGCTCTAGGAAGGAGGATTCAGGTGATAAGGTGTGTGTGTGTGTGTGGTGGGGGGGTGGTGGTTTACCTTTGTTGGTTATTCGCTTAAATGGGTTACACCAGCGCAAAAAAACGTTATGACATCATAAAGTGGGCCAAATCTGACTCAGCTCAATTTTTCAGGAATGTTTTATTTAAATGGATCAGGACAAAAGGTGAACGAATATTTTTCCTGAAACGTTCACAATCTTCTTAACCGCAGTGGGACACATTTTATGTATAAAATTGGGATATTTGCATACTGGGTAATAGGTGGACCTTTAAAGAGTTTTTTCCTTGCTTTAGATGAGGGCCGAAAAAAAGTAATTCCTCCTCAAAGGGCTTCATTTAATAATTTGACCTTTTCCTTCTTTTTGCTTGAACCTGGCTTAATGGTTGGGTCCCAGGACGATCGGTTGGCGTCCCGGTGCTTCCCACCTTTCTGTGATCTTCACCTCCGGACGCTAGACTCACATGGGCCTCTGGGATGTGCTGGAATCGTGCAGCCAAACGACGGGAAGTGCCAACCTCAACTCTGACAATATGTACAAGCAGTCTACCACCATGGTTAGTGTTAAACCGTTAAAGTGTGTTTTTGGTGCGCAGGACCTTAGACCAGAAACAGAGTGAGGAGAAAGAAACTGAGACCAATGTCCACCCCTTTGTTTAACGTATGAAAGGAACTTATATTTAGAGTTTATGTTTGCTAATTACACACTGTTCCGGTCTCTCCTCAGATTTACCCTTCCTCTAGCTTCTGATTCACAGGAAAAGACGTCGGAAGAAACAACATCAATTCTCAATCTTTTGCCGTCACCCAACCCCTGTGTTCCTCTTACCAGGTTCAGTAGCTCTGCATTCACCACTGAGGAACATCCAGGGGATTTTAATTCTCTCAAGTTCTGTTTAAAAGAGGACGAATTAGGGCCAATTATTTTGAAAACTGAAAATTTGACAGGGTTGACAAATCCAACCCACAGTTAATCAATGTAATCTTAAACACACATGTAGCTAAAGTCTCCAAGACCTCGCTGGTTTATAACTGACATTCCTTTGGATCTGCATTGGAAACTGAAAAATGACCCTATGGATACACTATTGAGCGCCAGCAATATGCAATATTATTTAAGAAATTCATACAGGAAGAATGAAATAGGAGGACCATGGGCATATCAAACGCCCATGGCCATAAAAGGAACACAAGGTCCAAAAGGATGTTAAAACATTGGGTAATGCAATTCAGTTTAAAGTGTAAGAAATGAAAAAAAAAAAGAGATCCTACTATTACACCTTGCTTTCTATTTAATTAGTACATCATTAATTAGTTTCCCACTGTGTAGGAGACAACATTTCTTGTCTTGTCTGTCTTTCTGTCTTGTAGGTAGGGAACTACAGGTGAGCTGATTCCCTGGGGCACCACAGTAGGACCACTTGTCTAACGGGACCTCGGCAACGTT